TCCATGCCCTGAGACAATTTTTACCACAGTAATACCACAGGAATCCGAACCAGAACTATAGCCATCATACTATACATGCCCTGAGACAATTTTACCACAGGAATTCCGAACCAGAACTATAGCCATCATACTATCCATGCCCTGAGACAATTTTAATGAAAAATTCATCAACTTACAAGTCTCTTCGAGTTGAGCTGGTAAAGAGATGCAGTAAACCATCGATTTCGTTGAGAAGCTATTACTTTCCTAAAACAAACATTCGTAAACCTCACAAACGTATTCAGAGTGTCCTGGATTATTAAAATCCCGTTTCAACGTTTAGTACATTAACCCTCCTCATATACGAGGAAAGCTTTAATGAGCACTTTGATATTATTCCTCTCTCATCACACATTTTTGGAGTAAGCTGTCTACTCTGCGAAACACATCTTTTTGTTTTTAATATACGACGATGCTTTATAGTCAAGTAGCTGAGACTATGTGTACAGTAAACTATGAAATATCACGATGTTTGTTTTATAGCTTCTAGTGCTTTGCATGAGGATACTTGCTCAATGTACTGTATAATAGATTGGTATAGATTACTGTGCATTACAACAGTTTAATATAGATCAAAACTGTTCATCACGAACAGATCTTAAGTACCACACCACGAGTTTCCAAATATACCACACTAGTTCAATAAGCCGATTACCGAGAGTCAGGCAACATCAACATCCGTGGATGGCTTTAGAGAATGTTCCCTTAGTTGAAATACTTCTTTCTGCTTGGTACCAAATGGAGGAGGAAAAAAAGAAAAACGAAATTAAAGTGAAAACTTTCTAGTGCTTATTAATACGATTTTCTACGTTACAATAAGGGGTTTGTTTTGTTATTAAGCACAAAGCTACATAATGGGCTATCTGTACCGTGCCTACAGAGAGTGTGGGGATCCTATTTTTAATGTTATAAGCTCTCAGATCTACCGATGAGCCACCAGGAGCATACAGTTAGGGATTCCGAGTTTGGTACAAAAACTTCCCTGATTTGAGAATAAAGTTATATATATATACACATAAGTATAAAAGTGGGTGTATTTTTGTCAGTACATCTGTACATATAGTACAGTACTATATACGTGTGTGTATGAACGTGTAGAGAGACAGATAACTAGAAAATTAAGATGATTTTTAAGACTAAGGACCTATCTATTTCTTCTGTATTATTCACCAGAGTAAAAACACATGGGATAAAAAAATAGGTATATCACGTACAAGCGAATAAACCTTGGCGTATTAAAAAAAGAGTGAACTTCTCTTCTTCAGAGGTCCCCCCAGTGACACAGCGGTATGTCTGCGGACTTACACTGCTAGAAACCGGGTTTCGATACTCGTGGTGGGCAGAGCACAGATAGCCAATTGTGTAGTTTTGTGCTTAACTACAAACAAACAAACTTCTTCAGAGGTTAAGGGATACAATCTGGAATTTTAAACTTAAAATACATTTGCCTAATCTACTGACTTTAATGTTTCCTATTGAATTTAATTAATTTTTCACAAATTAATATATTTGCATTGTATAATACTCCATTCTTACTGTTTCCTATTCAAATTATTCAGCATTTCTCGGATGTTTTCATAACATTGTTCTCGCCCTTTTAACTTGGAATAATGATTATTACAGAAAGTAAGTCGCCACAAAAAAATGAAAGCCTTAACTTTGTTATTTTGTTCCGCTCTATAACTTATAATGATCTCTGACATTTGTATTACTTGTTCACCTTTGTAATTTAACAGATAGCCTATTATATTCACCTATTCTAGGAGGGTGTGTCCATCAACCATGCTATAAATATTTTCAATTGTAGAGATTCATATATTAAGTTACTACGTATATCAGTGGGGTATCTTTAGTTTCAAAAAGGGTTTCTGTAGCTGAGGTATGCACGGT